GCACCTTCTTCTGGCCAGATGAAATGATGCCCATATACTCGTATAGTATGTGCTAAGCCAGATGATTTATCTTTTTGCAAAGGGCCGTTCTGCAGGGTGTAAGGCTCCTGATGACAGCTGGATGCCACTTAGCTTACTTGGGGGGAAAATAACAACTCAGTTTACGCTACAGAAAATGCATGTCTCTGCAAAGGCAAAAGCAGACAAAGAAAGAAAGATTTCTAGAATGTTCTTTATCTGCTCTGACCTATGCTGACCTTTCAACCTAGATGGATATTTTTAGGGTTCCTGATATCACTTGCCTTCCTTTTCAACAATTCCTTCTTGACCTTTCCTGGGTCAGAGTCAAGGAACACCTTAAGAGGCGAAGAGACACAATCGCTCCCTATAACTTAAATCGCTAGCAGGAGAGTCTCTATTATCATACTTTTCTTGACATTATTTCTCTAATAAATACTAGGTTCTTATTTGCTTGGACAAGAAAGTGTGACGGTGACTCAAAAGGGAGAGGTGTGCTCTGCCTAACCTTTCCAATTTTCTGGGGCTGAATCCGCAAGTTAACTCCAGTGTTGCTAGCTGTCGCTAGCGCTGCTAACGGCTCTCAGTTTGCCACACTCGAAGTTAACTCGTGGACTTGCAAACAGGAGGGCAGGAAACCCAGTCTTTCGGCAACTCTGGGCCAGGGTTCTCTCTCGCAATCATGCACGGACACCAAAGATACTGGAAGTACATGCTTTGCTTATCTGCTATTTCTGCCATCCACGGGGGGGGGGGCGTAGGAGGGCAGGAAACCCAGTCTTTTGGCAACTCTAGGCCAGGGTTCTCTCTCGCAATCATGCACAGACATCAAAGATACTGGAAGTACATGCTTCGCTTATCTGCTATTTCTGCCATCCATGGGGGGGGGCGCTTGGAATCAATCCCCCAGGGACACTGCAGTCCTGCTGTATTACAACTGCATAGCTTTCCTTGCAGGGACTCAAAGCCGGAAATGTGCCATGCTGACTATTCCAATGTTCCACGGCTGAACTTCTGAAATAATTTTAAAATTCAAAATAATTTTAAAATAGACAGATAACTGTGTTCTGTATTCAAGTTATTTTTAGTAAAATGGTGAACTGCACATTTAAGAGAAGAATTTCAAGCTTGGAATAAAAACAGAGAGAAAAAAAAAGATAACATAGGCACCAGTCCTTAGCTTCTTTCTACCTTACTCAGCCAGCCTGGCTATTAACCTAAAAACACCAGTTTGCTTCAGGACTATTATGTATATGGATAAATTGGTCAGGTTTGTAAGTAATGCCCTCCCAATGGAGATTCGTCTGGCGCCAACGCTGATTACGTTTCGGCGCCAGGTCAAAACTTGTTCCAGAAGGCTTTTAATTGAAATAACATCAACTGTGGGTCCTGATGGCAATTTTAATTGTATTTTAATCATTTAATCTTTTGTTGTATTTTAATTGAATTTTAATTGTTGCAAGCCGCCCAGTGACCTTTGGGTAGAGTGGGCGGCATATAAGTTAAATAAATTGAATAAATAAATAAATGTCTGCAAAGTAAAGGGGGGGGAAGAAGCCAATGCAGTGGCACTTTAAAAGCCCGACACAGCTATTTCAGTGTGAGCTTTTGTGAATCTAAACCCACTTCTTCAGACAAAGGAAGTGCATATACAATTACAAGCAAGCGATAAGGGTCCTGTCTCAATGAAATATTGTCACTTGGTCTATTATCAACATTCTCACCCACACATGACTCTCACGACCATAACAGTAATTATGGGGGACATGGATTTGCATTCCCTGTGTCTGAACAAAAAAATGGATTTTGATCCACAAGAACTCGCACTGAAATAAATCTGCTAGTCTTGAAAGTGCTGTGATATTTTGCCTTTTTAAAAAAAGGGCATCCATGTAACCGTTTGGCCCCCAAGAATTTTTTTTTAAGTGAAAAACGACTGTTGGCACAAGCCACGAGAAAATCTGAAAAACTCCAATAGAAAAGAAGAGTCGTGCAGGTATCAAGAGTCCTCTAGGTATGGCCTGTTGGGTCATGGTTACCCCCAGAATCATAGTCAAAGGATGAATGGGCAGTTAAGACAGAAGAAAAGCAAGGTATAGTTTATGCGGAAAAGTGGATGGGAGGATCCCTTGACATCTGCAAATGGATGGAGAAGGATGTGGCTTCATTTCCATTTGTTTTCTGCTTTCTACCGTTACCTGCAAGCTGGCAAAACACTCCCCACCCCTTAAGTCAAGAACCCTAAACAGGATACAGGATGTCCCTGAAAGATTTTCTTTGAAATCTTACTGCATCACATTAAAACAAAAGGAACACAATACCTGCCATCATCGTTTTTACAGAAGACTAGAAACCTGCGGTAAAACATTTATCACCGGCTTCAACAGGAGGCTTTCGATGGCCCAGAGCAAAAACAAACAAACAAAAAACAACGGGGCAAAACTTATTCAATGGAAAGGACAAAACCCGCCATGAGATGGGATGTGTTGCCCTCTACTGGAGAGAAAGAATCACTGAAAAATCCAAATTGCAAGGAAATGAGTGTAGACTGTTAAGGATTGCTATTTCCTCTGAAGTGTTTAATTATAAGTAGCATTTCTTGGCTTTGCTCTTCTCCCCATTGGCTTGGAATGAAAGATATACTAGTTTCAGAGGGATTTACACAAAAAAGCCCCAGTAGGACTGTAAGAAAAGTTCTGCTGGACCAGAGCACAGACCTACTAAGTTTATTAGTCAGCCTCTAATGACTTTCAGGAAGTCCACAAATAGGTTATTAAAGAGATATCATCTTCAAGTATCTAAAGCTATACTGCTTCAGTACATGGAGGTTCTATTTTTATATGCACTTGTCTAATACTCCCCCTCTCAATCTGTCTGTCTGTCTGTCTCTCTCTCTCTCTCTCACACACACACACACACACCTCTAAAAGTTTATGGCATATTAGATCAGCTAATTCTTTCACCAATCCTGCATTGTTTCCCTCCCCACTGCCAAAATCAGGTTATTAGAAGGCGAATGTACAAAGTCTATAAGACGAGTAATTAGTTTTATTAAGATAACGGCCAGAATCCTGTTGTTTAACATAAACCAGATCGCACCTTGTCACTGCTATGAACCTGCCAGACTAATCATGGGTCACATGGTTGGTAGAGAAATCAAATAAATAAATAAAATACAGTGGTGCCTCACACAACGATGTTAATTGGTTCCAAAAAAGCTATGAACCTGCCAGACTAATCATGGGTCGCATGGTTGATAGAGAAATCAAATAAATAAATAAAACATGTACATAAATACCTTTCGGTCCGTTTCTCCCTGGTAAATAAAGTGTTTTTCTTCTCAAGGGTGTGCACACACGACATGGCTGCCACATGAATCACGTCAGGGACATTTTGTTTACCACGGAGGAACGGACTGAACATGATGATCTGGCTTATGCTAAGCAAGAGGATTTCAGCCTATATCTGTGAAAAGGCTCAGGTACTGTACGGCCAACTGCTCTACATACGGTTGAACTGAGTGGTACGGACATTTATATAAACCTGTATGTGATCAAATTGCTATGGAGCCCAGTTTCAGCTGGGTTACATCCATGTATGTATAACGGGGAAAGGTTAGAAGTAGAGATGCGGGTATTCGTATAACGAGGGTCCATTCACAATTTCTCCTCTGCCTTCCTATCGCTCGAGGCAGCAAATTTGACAGAAAAAGGCATCGTTGTGTGAATTCATCGTTGTGTGAGGCACTCGTTGTGCGAGGCACCACTGTATGTACATAAATACCTTTTGATCCATTTCTCCCTGGTAAATAAAGTGTTTTTCTTCTCAAGGGTGTGTACACACAACGACATGGCTGCCACATGAATCACGTCAGGGACATTTTGTTTACCACGGAGGAACGGACTGAACCGCTCCATTGTCCGCAATCAATTCCCCCCTCCTGGCAGGGGGCGGGATGACAAGCCTCTCTGCTAGGTCAGAGAGTGGCTAATCCATTGCGGAGAACAGCGGCGAAATCGTGAGCGGACAGTCCGGCCCCACGCAGCTGGATCCTCGTTATTTCCACCTGTGAGGGGATATGCGTATACGTCAGGGACATTTTGTTTACCAGGGAGGAACGGACTGAACATGATGATCTGGCTTATGCTAAGCAAGAGGATTTCAGCCTATATCTGTGAAAAGGCTCAGGTACTGTACGGCCAACTGCTCTACATACGGTTGAACTGAGTGGTACGGACATTTATATAAACCTGTATGTGATCAAATTGCTATGGAGCCCAGTTTCAGCTGGGTTACATCCATGTATGTATAACGGGGAAAGGTTAGAAGTAGAGATGCGGGTATTCGTATAACGAGGGTCCATTCACAATTTCTCCTCTGCCTTCCTATCGCTCCATTGTCTGCAATCGATTACCCACTCCTGGCAGGAGGCGGGATGACAAGCCTCTCTGCTAGGTCAGAGAGTGGCTAATCCATTGCGGAGAACAGCGGCGAAATCGTGAGCGGACAGTCCGGCCCCAAGCAGCTGGATCCTCGTTATTTCCACCTGTGCGGGGATATGCGTACACGAATACCCACATCTCCAGTTAGGAGCTGAGCTGAAAATATTTTAGAAGAGATGCACCTCCCACAGCACTGCACACATGATTCAATAGGATGCGAGAGACCTACAACAACAACAAAATGATGCAAAACGGAGCCTTGAGCATTCACTCAAAAGCGGCAGTCACTACATACTGTGAAATGAAACACCGGGGAAAGGAAGACTTTTTCAGCCGCTAAAATTTTACTTCTAACCTCCTGTAGATCCAACAGACCCATTTTTTTCACACCTTCCATCCCTCCGTTAAGGTAAGACCTTTCATTTCAAACAATATTCTAAAATAAATTGAGCAGACATCCTCTTTTCCACATTTCCATCGCATTCCTTGGCTTAATCTAATATTCTTTTAGCAATTTCCCCATGTTATAAACACACTCACAGATTCTGTATCCTAGCTTTTCGGCGTGGATTCTTTTGGCCATGAACTGCCCTTCCATCAAGGCTCGTACCTCCACGTCCCTCGGAAAGGCTGGCACCTGCAGAGAAAGAGAACAGAATTAAATAAACTTACACGTATGCAACGCCATCATGAGACCACATTTTGGGAGAGTTAGGCAATCAACTCTAAAAGAACAAATACAAACTTCTGGGTCTGTGATCTATTATACAGTGGTGCCTCGCACAGCGAGGTTAATCCGTTCCAGATTAACCCTCGCTGTGTGAAAGCATCGTTGAACGGAACGTAAAAACCCACTGGAACGCATTAAACATGGTTTAATGCATTCCAATTGGGCCGAATACTCACCATTCAGCGATGCTTCAGGATGCCCGGCAGCCATTTTCACGCCCTCCCCTCACTTTACGAGGGCGCGAAAACGTTGCGCGTGGCCATTTTGGGGCTTCCAGCAGCCATTTTGTAGCCGCCGAACAGCTGATCACAAAACCGGCCTCGTAGAGTGAATTCATCGTTCTACGAGGCGCCCGTTGTCCGAGGCACCACTGTATTTGCCTTCATCTTGAAAGTTTGTGCATAGGACTGTTACTTAGTCACAGAAAAAACACTAACCAAAATCTCTTGAGAATTGTGATACAGCCCATAACCAGTCCACATATTTTTCAAGGAGAGATTTACTGCCACGTGCTCTCTCTACAATAGGTGTGCCAGATGCTTTATAATTTTTATATTATTTATCATCATTGCAGCTGCAATACAAGGATATCTGCAAGCGATATATGAAGGCCTCAACAGATGGGAAACCTTGACCTCTGAGCATTCAGCCTGGAGGCAGGCGCTGCATCACAGCCTCTCCCAATTTGAAGAGACCCTTGTCCAGCAGGCCGAGGCAAAGAGGCAGTCACGAAACCAGCACAACCAGGAAGCTGGACAGGGGACAGGTTGTATCTGTCTTCAGTGTGGAAGGGATGGTCACTCGCGAATTGGCCTTCTCGGCCACACTAGATGCTGTTCCAAGTCCTCCATACAGAGCACGTTAACATAGCCTCTCGAGACTGAAGGATGCCTAATCATAAATCAATCAATTTATCCTCATAGCCAGCTTTCAAGATTAGGCCATGGTAGTGCCTCTAATAAAATTTTATTGCTGAGTTTGGAATGGGTAGCTCAAAACTGTTGCTATTAAATCAGGGTCTAAGAAGTAATTTGAATCAAGATCTCCTCTGTACCTCTTCAATATTCTATACATTCTGGAAAACCTGAAATCTTGGTCACGCTTTCCTGATATTCTGGATAGTTCTAATAAAAGGATAACCTGGTTTTGTATTTTGGAATACACAGCATATGATTTTTAAGTTGGAAATGCTGTAAGAAGGAATCGTCAAACAAACGTGGAAAATCGCTTACTCTGTCACCATGCCTGTTGAATCTGTGAATGCCAACAGCACTGGGTATAATCTCCATCACATCAAAATAAAAACCTAAATGAGAAGTTGAAAGGTTTGTTGTTTTCATGTCCAGTATAAAAATGTTCCTTTAAAGTCACAGATGATTAGAAAGAAACCAAGGCATCAGAGGTTCGAGCTGAGAGCCAGCATGCACCTTCCCTCTTCTGTAGACACATTCTGTTCAGTTTCTGGTTCCTGGCAAACCACAGCCTGTTATTACCTCTGAACTGGCAAATTACGGTTCATATAATTATTGGCCCTGTAAACCAGAATTGTAATCCAGAGTTTGATCATGGTTTGCAACAGGAGATGTTTCGCTTTTTATCAGGAATCGTCGCTGTGTTATCTTCTGCCAATCTGTTACAGTCAACATGCTTGATAGCATTGGCAGAAGATCACAGTGTTGTTCTAGTAAAAAAGAAAAAAGAAGAAGGCTTTCATTCCTGTTGCAATCACTTCTTTGTTGCCACGAGAGCCCACAGAAATAAGATGAGAAGAGAATTAAACTAATGAAGCAAACTTCTACTCCAAAGTACCTACCGACATTTCCGTCATTTCCAACAGCTGCTGACGCTAGTAATTTGGAAAATTCTTCCCAAGAGCCAGAGGCAAGCTCATCTCGTATCTTCTCTCTCATCAAAGAACCATTCTTATAACTAAAAGAAATAATTTTAAAAGAACATTGATTGATTGATTGATTGATTGATTGATTGATTGATTGATTGATTGATTGATTGATTAGATTTATATACCACCCCATTAGTGCAAAGCACTATTCTGGGTGATTTAAAACAATGGATAAAACACACCATACTTAACAGTCATTATACAAAAATTATAACATTCATAAAATAACAACCAAAGCCAATTATCCAAATGAAGGCAGGACAGGGAGCAAGAAAAACCCAAAATCAAATAGGGTCAGTGTGGAAAGCCTCCCTGAAAAGCAACATCTTTTTAAGTTGCCTTCTAAACATGAGCAGGGAGCAGGCCTGGAGCTGGTTTCACAATACAAGAGCCACCACAAAGAAGACCTGATCTCTTTTGTGCAAGATGTCTGGGCCTCCCTCGGAGTGGCTCCCCAAAGGCTCTTGGTCTGGGAAGCTCTGATGGATCAGACAGATGACATCCAAGAAAGGCGTTCCAAGAGAAACAGAGCAGCCTGTATCTACCTGTACCTTCATTAAAGAGTGAGACCTCTTAAATTTACTGGGATTTATTTTTAAGGAAGTCAGATTAAGACTGCATTACGGGCGTTGAGGTATCCACTGTATAAATTATAGATCGGGATTTATAGACCTTCAACATGAACGGGAAGCCAGCTTCTTGCGCGACTTGGCTTTTGGTTGCTTCGTGGCTGATGGTTTCACTTTAACTTTAGAAGCAGTTGAGGCTTTTGGCTTGGATGTTTTAGCCTGAAGGGAAGGAGACGCCCTCGGTGAAGCCGAAGGTTTTAAAGGAGGCGAGGCAGACTCCATTTCTGGTGGCTTGAGAGACTTTTGCCAGAGAGCCACCCTCAAGTGTTGTTCTCTAAGTATGAGGGCTTGCTTGGGGAAAGTTTTAAAGCGTACGCAAGAGTGGGGCTGATGAGATTCGCCCAAACAGGTTAAGCACAGGTTGTGTCCGTCTGTTGTTGGAAACTTCTTGCGGCACGAAACACAACTCTTAAAAGAGACTTTAGGGGCCATAAACCATGGGGGGGGGGAAGGGGAAAAACAAACAACTAACTTTGACTTTCTCTTTTGTAGGTGTCAAATGATGCAGAAGTTCCAAGGTCCTAGCTTGAGAGCTCCGAGGAGAGACCTCTCAACGCAGCGGAAAAATTGGAACTGAGGTAACCGCTAGGACGGGCGGGGCACGTGGGCTACAGGGGTGGTCCTAGCGTTTTCTCTTAGCTCTGGAATCTTCCAAGACCTCTGCGCATGCGCAGAATTAACCCATTAGTGTGTATTCACAGAGGCCACGAAGAAGAAGCTGAACAGAATTCCAACTCTGAGAGCCACCAGTTTTAGTGTCTTGTGTAGCTCCACAAGTCTTCTAAGGAACACCAGAAGGAGAATAATTATGGAAACTTAGAAAATACATTTACTGGTTAGATTTGTAGTGCATGAAGGGTACACAGCCCTTCTAAATCCAAATCAGAAGCAGAATTCCATGTTTACTGGTTAGATTTGTAGTGCATGAAGGATACACAGCCTTTCTAAATGACTTACTGGAAGGTAATCCAAATCGGAAGCAGAATTCCATCCACTGGAACTGCCTTTCTTACAACCTTTGAAAGGTCAGATGCAGTCCATCTGGTGAGTCCTGGGGGATAGAAGATCGATTCCCGCCCACCCCGGAGTTAAGAGATCATTAGCAATAGGATCAGGACATTTTTCCTAAGGCTCTGAAGCGTCATAGCTAATTGTCATGGCCAGAACTATGGGTGAAAGCCTTTCCCATAGAAAGCAGCATTCTGAGGTAAAATAAAAAGGGCTTTACCATAGGAGGGCCATGTAGGCTTTTGTATCCACAGGACTACAAAGGATATGTCCTTCTAGAGCAGGATTTGGCTCCTTAATCCAGAGAAACAATGTATCACTAGTGCCCAGGCTAATCTGTGGGAAAGAATAAATGAGGTGTTAGCACAATATGCATGAAAAGCAGTATGGAAATTAAATTAAACCCCTTCATTTGTACTACTAATTATCTTTAAATTACACATTAAGGCAATTGGATTCTTGTGGAATTAGCTTGGCTTGTCACCTTTGCACAGAACGCTGAGGGAAAAGTACGTCTAAGGAAAACCAAAGATTTATTCGGGGAAATTCACACATGTGCCATCATCCCCGCAAGACGAGGCGAGGAAACTGTTTGCATGAAACAGCTACCACCATCACAAAAACTGCAAACAGACATGCACATCATTTTCATATTTTTCATATCACCTGGTGTTTTGGCTTTACTTCAAGCAATACTTCTCAACAAAGGCTGCTCACACTTTCAAGCAGAGAGTTAAATATATATATAAAACACTGAGGAATATACACATGGGTGCTAGCACAACGGCTTTCAACCTTTCACATGTTAGCTAAAAAGCGTATAAATTTTACAAGCCACAATAACCGTAAAACCCAAAGACTGCAAATTAAAAATTGCAACAGCATTGTTGCCAATAAATGTCATTTTTATGATCAAAACAAACCAAATTAATAATTCTATAATGTTGCGTCCCATTTGGTCTATTTTTGAATATCCCTGGATATGCATCATTGTACTGAGAACCACTGAGGGAGACCAGATGAAGCCAGTTTTCCCCACTGGTGTGCAGCACTGGGACATGTTTCTAGATGTTTCATCACCCGTAACAATTCACAGTGTGTGTATCCAAATATAATTTCTATGAAATTCCATGAGGAAGTGGCAGTTTTCTGTGCTGCAGCAAAATCCTGCAAGATCTGATTTGAAAAAAAAAACAAAAAAGGCTGTTTCCCAGCCTCTCTGAAACATTTCGATATAAACTCTAGAAAGTCGTAGGGCAGCAGTGGGCGTGTTCTACTTTGCAGCCAATCAGAGCAGGGGTGGGTGTGTCCCTTCGTTTTCAGCCAACCAGATTTCACCTGTACTATTTGCATTTTGGTTTGTAATGCCTGCTGCAGCTCAAAGGGAAGGAAGTGGAGGGGGGGTGCTGCCTGGATTCCCTCCCCCTCGGCGCTACCCAATTTTGATCCGACTGCATCAAAATGCACTGGAAAAACATTCTCAAAGTCACAAATTCTGGAGAAATAAAATACTACCTGAGGTCAACACAAGGCAAATTGGATACACCTTTCTCTCTTTCTTAGGATGCAAACATATCCAAGTCAGGCGTCTTTAAGAAAGAAGGATATAAATCCCAATCAAAGAGATCTGAGGATATGCTTAAATAAATATGTTCCACCAAAGCCAGTGGCGCCCAAAGGGGCTTCACTAAGGATACACTCCTATCAGAATAGATCATTTAAGAGCTGCTACTAGGATCAGCATAAAGTTCAGGATTCCTGCTCTGTTTAGCTGTATCTATGAATGTATCACAAATAGGTCAGCACTTACTGCCACATCCCCTTCAGCAAGCCTCATTGCTGCCAAAGATGCTGAAAAGGCAAATAAGGAAGTCCAGTTAAATTATAAGATCAGCTTTTTTTCCTGGATACACAATGGACGCAATAGGAAAGTTGGGTCTGCCGAACCCCCTGTGCTATTCAAAGGGACTCAAGTCATGCAACTAAAGCCACCTTGGTTTTTTTCTAAG